CTGGCCCTCTGGGGCAAGGATGGAGAGAAAAGTACCAACTCCCGCAAAAGGATTTTATGCAAATTAAAGGACCTATCAGCTGTACCTTGTACGATAGGTTATTTAGGGATGTGTGCCTGAATTCTTAAATCTGGTGCTTGGCTCTGTGGCATCACAATAATAGTAGTGCCATTTATTGCCAGTCTATTATGTCTTGCTGATTTATTTATTTATTGAACTTAATTTGTAATGTAGATAGTCTCCAACCTATACAAAAGTAGAGAGACCAGTATGATGAACCCACATTAACCAGCTTCAGCCTGATCAAATCCTAGTCAGTCTATCTTGTTTCCTTCATTTGCTCACCCACTCTCCCCTACCTCGCCCTGGCACAGGTTAATTTAAGAACAGCTTTGCTGAGGCATAATTCACACACCGTACAATTCACCTATTTAAAGAATACACTTCAATGGCTTTTAGTATACTCATAGAGTTGTGCGACCCTCACCACAATTTTAGAACATTCCTTCACCCCCAAAAGAGGCCCTGTGTCCTCCATCACCTCCATGATGGCTTCCTACCAGCTCGAATCAGCCACTAATCTACTTTCTGTTTCCATAGATTTGCCTGTTACGGACACTTCATAGAAATAGAATCATACAATACGTAATCTTTTGTGACTGGCTTCTTTCAATTAACAATTGGCACGGTTTTAGAGGTTCACCCAAGTTGCAGTCTATATCTGCACTTCATTTTATTGCCAAATAATAATCCATTGTATGGATAAACTACATTTTATTTATCCATTCATCAGTTGGTGTACATTCAGGTTGTTTCCACTTTTTGGCTAGTATGAATAATGCTGCATTTATGTCCAAGAACATTCGTGTATAAATGGGTACATGTTTTCATTTCTCTTGGGTAGGTATCTAGGAGAGAATTTTCTGGATCATATGGCAACTCTATGTTTAACATTTTGAGGAACTACCAGACTGGCCTCCATAATAGACTATACAATTTTACATTCCCACCAGCAGTGTATAAGAATTCCAATTTCTCTACATTCTCTCCAGCACTTGTTATTATCTGTCTTTTTAATTATAGCTATCTTAGTGGGTGCAAGGGGACATCACTTTGTGATTTTTATTTGCACCTCCCTGATGACTAAAGATGTTGAGCTTGTTGTGCTTATTGGCCATTTGTGTATATTTTGGGGAGAAATATCTATTCGGATCATTTGCTCATTTTTTAATTTGGGTTACTCATCTTTATATTATTGAGACAAAAATGTCTTCATATATCCCAGATATCAGTTCCCTATCAGATACATAATCTATAAATACTTTCCCCCATTCTATGGGTTGTTTTTTTCTCTTTCCTGCTGATATCCTTTGCAGCACAAAAGTTTTTAATTCTGATGAAGTCCAAGTTATATTTTTTCTTTTTTGTTTTTTTTTTTGCTTGTATTTGTGGTGTCATATCTAAGAAACAGTTGCCTAATTCAAGGTCACAGAGATTTATGACTATGCAATCTTTTAAAAGTTTTGTAGTTTTAGCTCTTACACGTAGGTGTCTGAACCATTTTCAGTTTAATTTTTGTATATGGTGTGATGTGTATGGGCAGGTCCCACCTCATTCTTTTGAATGTGAATATCCAGTTGTCCCAGCATCATTTGTTGAAAAGAATATTTTAAAAAATGACTGAATTGTCTTGACTTGCTTATTGAAAATCAACTGACCATGATCAGTTATTTTGAAGGAAATCCCAGATATCATGACAATTCACCTATGAATATATTATATGCCCTGGTGTTTTATCTATCTACTCCCTGATCCTCACAACAATCAAGGCACTGGTATCACATTTAATAGGAAAGGATGCTGACGCTTGGAGGCGTTGGGTGACTGGTCCAAGATCACGCACCTACTGCCGTAACAGAGCCAGATCCAAAGGCTGCACGCTTCCTGTTACACTACCATCTGCTGCGGCCAAAACACAGTGAAATATAGTAGTAGCGAGAGCAGCATGACTCAGGCAAACCTTGCCTCCAATTCCTTAAAGGTATCATTTAACTTGTTTACTCTCTTCACTGGCATCATCACCGTCTTTATTTGCCCTTCATCCAGTATTCTCATCAGGAGACAGACAGCTCTCTGAAAACTCAAAAATTATCTCTGCAGAATGCAGAGAAAAGGAAGGGTAGAAAAATCAAAACCTTGGTGCAAGGAGTCTGTGAATTTGCATGAACCTGAGAGGTGACACTGTCCATCCTGAAGTGAGGAGTGGGTAGAACAATCTTAACTTTCAACTGGAATTTGACATTTTGCTTGCTAGAAGAAAGACTGGAATTTGACATTTTGCTTGCTAGAAGAAAGACTCGACGATCAAGTCTTGGAATTGAAAGACACCTTCAGTGGTAGTTTGACAGACCTCTTATTTGACACATGCAAACATGCCCAGTGGCTTTCCAAAGGTAACCGGTCTAGTTAGTGGCTGAAAAGGACAGTCAAAGGCAGGTCCTCTGGTTTCTGTATTAGGGACTATCAGAATTTTTGGTTTCTAGAACCTACTGGGCATGAAGTGCCAGATAACCTGCCCTCACCAAGCAAAGGGTAATCTTAATGAGCCTCTGAATAAATTGCAAGCATGCAGAAAAGGGGAGAAAAACCACTGATGATAGAGAGTATTCTGAATCTGCCTGTGGGGCACAGTAATTTTCAAAAATCTATGAGGTAATAACCAATCAATCTTCTGAGGGTGAGGTAAGATATATAATCCAGGAATTGGAGAGCATCATGCAGACTCTGTCATCTTTCCAATAAGGCAACATTGGACACTGCCTGGGACACATCAGAAATACTGTAGAGAGAATGTGGGTTTGAAATAAATGAGGTAAGGAAGAAGTGTGTGGCCTATGCTAGAATGGCTTAGGGCCTACACCAGAAGACAGAGTCCCACCAAAGTGGGCAATGTAGGGGAGGCCACATCAACCAATGACATCACCTTCAGGACCAGCGTCTTCTATCTCCATAACCGCCTCTCCCTACATCCAGGAGAAAGTGCTCCCAGGAAAGGTCCTGATGGCGGCATATGGTAGGTGGTGTAGCAAAGCTTCAGGGTCAGCTAGACCGAGGTGCAAATTCTAATTCCTTTACTGTCTAGCCATGTGGTTGTAGGCAAGTCATTTCCCCTCTGCAGGTCTCAGTTTCTTCCTCTGTCCAGTGGAAGATATTGTGAGGATTAACTGGGACAATGATATAAAGCACACAGCACAGTTTCTGGCACATAGTAGATGCTTCACTTGAGATTTTTTGCCCCCACGCTGAGTCTTTCTCAATTTAGTATGAATTTTGGTTTCCCCCGGACCTCTCCGGGTACTATTTAAATCTCAGGACCTGTATCTTTCAGTATGGAATTTAAAAATTTCATTCTCCTATTGACAGGCTTTTAGATCTAAAGGGGCAGAGGCTGTGCGGGGAAGCCTGAGGCCAGAGCCTCCATGACAGAATGAATGCCTGGACTCTCTGCTCAATGCTTCCTCCTCAGCATCACCGTGGTGTGCCTGGGATGCTGGTTGCCATGACCACCTAATTATTTCCTCTGGGTCTGACCACCATGACAAATTGAAACACTTGCCAAACTCCCAACCAAACAAGCAGCAGATGTCCAATTCGAAAAAACATCGTTCCTGAACAATAATATTTGGTTTCTCTTCAATCCCATGGACCCATCCGCAGAAATGGTGGCCAGGAGAGGCAGCTACGAGGAAGCCAAGATTAAGAACTGGGGAACAGGAGGAGGTGAGACTTATGGTCTGTCTTCCATGAGATAAACCATGCAGGAGGCACTCCTTACAAACATACTGATTAATTTATATACCCACTAAGTACGTTCCACTAGTCTCAGGACAAGCTCTGAACAGCCACCCAGCACCAGTGGAAGGCAGAGAGAATGGCTTTTTAGAGTCAGAGGTGGGTGTCAATATCACTTTTGCCTTTGACTAGTTGGGTGACTTTGGCCAAATTCACTTCTCTGAGGTCTGGTTTCTTCATATAACATGAAGGTAATAATACTTGCCTCACAGAGTTGTTGCAGGATTAAAGTAAAGAGCATAAGGATTTAGCACACAGCTTAGACATGGTGAGTCCTTGATGAATGTTAGCTATAAACTTGTTTTTAAATCATAACGTGGTCTAATATAACTACTCTTCTGCAATATATGAAGATTAATGACCAATTTTGATAAGTACAGAATCCCATCCAAACAATAGTATCTTATAAATTATTCAGTACAACTATTTTACAAAGGAAGAAACTTAGGTCTAGAGAGGTTAAGACATTTGCCTGCAATCACACAGCTAGTTAACAGCAGGCTAGGATTAGAATGCCACGTTCCTAACATACAACCCAGCGCTTTTTCTACCCTACTATAATGCCTAAGAAAGAGAAGGGGGGAAGAGAATTAGCCTTTATTGAGCTTCAAGTATTCATATATTCTTCATATATTGCTTTATTTAATCACTATAGCAACAATAGAATGTAAAATATTATTATCCTCATTTAACAAACAAATAAACTAGAATATAAGCTCTAAAGAGCAAGAACTACGTCTTTCTTATTCATTTTTGTAGCCTTAGCAGGCAGAATGGTGCCTGGCACATAGTAGGTACCCAATAAATATTTGTGAATGAGTCAGATAGCTAATAAATGGTAGAGCCAGGACTTGTAATAAAATCTGTCTGACTTCAAAGCCTATGCTTTTTTGAGCTTTGCCCTTGTACTTCCTCCCTTAGGAGAAATAGGATGTAGAAAGGAAGAAAGAAGAAAAGACTCAAACAACTTTGGAAACTTGTAAGTTTTAAGGTATAAAACTAGGCACATTTTTATATTATCTTATTTACTTTTCACAACAACCAAGAACAACTGCTTTCTTTTGTAAATATATGAGGAAATTGAGATGCAGACAGCTTTAGTGACTCTTCCAGTGAGTCAGAAAAACAAGGGCTCAGATTCCAGCTCCAGACTTTCACCTTCATCTGGGCTCTTCTCATCATACTGCAGCTGCTTGTGGATAGTATCCAGAAGGAGGCAGGTGGTGGGCCAGGGACATATCAGGCCTGTCATATAATGGGAGGGCAAGGATAGCCCCTTCAGACTTGCCATTGAATGTCGGTCAGGACGCCAGAGCTGTGGTGGCTCTCCAGCACCAGAGACGCAAAGATAGAAAACCAGTGAGCTGAGGATGGCTGGGTACTTGGGGACCCTGTTGGAGCTTGCATGAGATCTGGGAGCTGCCTGCCTCCCCACTCCTAGTTAAATTTGGTAACTAAAGTTCTCTGTTTCTTAAGCTTTTATTATTTGGAATTCTGTTATCTATAGCCCAAAGCATGTCTATCTAATATGTTGTACTTCTCAGGAGTGAGGGGGGGTGTAAAGACCATGGCACTTATTGTCTATTTTCTGATGGACAGATACTATGGCCTGAAAGTTTGTGCCACCCCCCCAAATTCATATGTTGAAACCTATCCCCTATGGTGATGGTATTAAGAGGTGGGGCCATTTGGAGGTGATTAGGTCATAAGGCTCTGCCCTCATGAATGGGATTAGTGCTTTTATACGAGAGATGTGAGGGGGCTCCCTCACCCCTTCCACCATGTGAGGACACTTAGAAGGCACCATCTATGAAATAGGAAGTGGGCCCTCACAAGACACCAAATGGCTAGTGCTTTGATCTTGGACGTCCCAGCCCCTAGAACTTTGAGAGATAACTTTCTGTTGTTTATAAATTATCCAGTTTAAGGTATTTTGTTATAGCAGCTCATATGAACTAAGATAATAGGCAAATCTGTTTACTTCTAGAATTCTCAGTGTTCATTCATAGTTTTATTAGTGGGAGGTATTTGTTGGTTCAGTATCAGAAAAGAACTAGAGCCAGCTTATAAGAATGAGGGGAAATTGTTATAGAAATAAGAGTTCCCTCATGGAATCCAAATACAGGGATTTAGGTGAGCCTGACAAAGGCCTGCAACCAAGATCTCAAATGCATTTGGCAATCTGTTTCTCTCTTATGTCTGTTCTTTGAGTTCTTCATACTTCTCTCTGTCTTTCTCTGAAAAATAGCCACCATCAGCATCCACATTTACACATAACAAAGGCAACCGCCAGAAAAGACACTGAATCTCAAGCACAATTAAAATTTCTTCAAGAGCAGTTGTGATTAGCCACACTTAGATCATGTGCCCACTGATGCAGCAATCAGCTCCAACCAGCAGGAAGGACCTCAGGGTAGGGACGTGGCTTCCTGGGGCTGATCCCCCATGTGCCATGTAGATGATGGAGCAGTGAAGTTCTAGAATAGAGGGGCTGGGGAGATAACACAAAAGGTATATCTTATAAAGTTCCATCTCCTCTCTCTTCCTGAGGCATGAAGTACTGGTTTCAGCTATTATCAAGGCCAAGTGGCATCCCTGTCTTTACTGCAATTTGGTCTTTTGTTCATTTAACATTGAACAGGCTGGATTCTAGACATTGGGTGTGGAGCAGTGAATGAATCTGGCTAAGTCACTGCCCTCAGAGGTCTCATGCTTTCCCCTTTCAGTTATAGCGGACCTCCCATTACCCTTCTAATAAGCCATTCCTTTTGCTGAGCTTATTTGAGATGGTGTTTGTCACTTCTAATCAAAAGAGTTCTGACTCATAAGGAAATGGGTACTAGGAGTGGAACATTCCAACTGATAGACCCCCAGTGTAAAACTGGTGGAGTCAGGGTGGAGTAGGCAGTTGTGAGGACTCTGACATATTGGGCCGAGATATTGGTAATCTTCCTTGTGTGGTAGAGAATCAGTTGATCAAAGAATTAACTTGCATGCTAGAACTCAAGAGCATTGTCCACAAAATAGGAACTTTAGGTGACCTGGTAGAAAAATGTCAAAACATTGCCTACTTCTACTAAGTTACCGATTTGAGCCCATCTGATAGCAGATAGATAATAGCTGGGCAGGTTTATATGAATAACTCTGTAAAAATACTTAATTTCTTTCTATCTGTAGTTAGCTTTTTGAACCTGTTGAATCAGATAATCAAATGCTTTAAGAGTACAGCCTTAAAGTTAATGCACTAATTAGGATATTGGATATCTGGGAGGATTCAGAAGAATCAGGGAAACTCGATGATCCCAAATTGATCCTAAGCCAGGGTTCCCCAACCGATGGTGAGTTGTACAATTATTTCATTATATATTTCAATGTAATAATAATAGAAATAAAGTGCACAATAAATGTGCTTGAATCATCCCAAAAAACCATCCCCCCTCCTCCTCCTTGGTCTGTGGAAAAATTGTCTTCCATGAAAACAGTTTCTGGTGCCAAAATGGTTGGGGACCACTGTCCTAAACAACTCTACTGCTGTCTTCCTGTCTGGAAAACTTGTAATGCACATTTGGACGAGTAGTGAAGTAGAGACAAGAGCCATGTGGTAGGAAAGATGAACATTGCCTCACTACTCTACCCTATTGTTCTTCAAACTCAGAGCAGAAGCCAATGAGCTATGATTTAGGGAGATGTACAGACTCCCCAAGTTTGATATCAAGAAACCAATACTATAAAAGTGAGGACTAAATTCAAAAATGAAAATTTGGCAAAATTTCTGGTGTTGGCTACCAGCAAACTGAATCACCCATGTGTTCTCCCTGTCCTTCCCATGCAAGCAACAGGCCCAGCTAACAAGGGACTTAAAGAAGTTGTACTGCAAGAAATGATCAAGCCTGGTGCTTGTTCAACTCTTAAAGCAACCCTTAGTCTACATCCATGGTCCCAACAGAAATAAACTACTCAGGTGGTACAGTCCCTTATAATGGAAGCCTCCTTGATTCTCCTCTCAGTTTTGGCATTGATCCCTGGCCAAAGGAGTCCTCCCAGGGGGTAGAACCCAGGGCAGCCAGAATTACTGGTGAAGGAACAAACCAATATCCATGAGAGCGAGTGGCCTGACAGAACCCAGATGATGCTCTACCCTGGTGACTCAGTATCTTGTTGCTTCCCCTCAGCCTCATTAAGGAAGTCCTGTTATTCTTTATTTCCATAACCCTTGGATAATGAGTACAGTCAGGTGCAATATTTAGCACTCAGGCTGCAAAATCTCAAGGAGCCATAGTCAGTTAAGTTCAAGACAAGGAATTACCAGTCACCAGAAAACCTGGCTTGGAAATTTGGCTGCTGGATGGAGCTTTAAGTTTTCTTTTATTGGGAAATGGGGTTAATTTTGGAAGAAATGAAAAGATATGTGCAACAATAACAGCTAATGCTTATTGAATCCTTATTATGTGCCAAGAATTGCTCTAAGGCTTTATGTTTATGACTCATTTCATTTTTTGAGCTATTCTGTGAGGTACTGTCATTATTTGCATTTTACATGGGCAGTTAAGTGTTTTGCCTGAAGTTGAACTGAGATTTGAATGTAGGTTTGGGTTCTTAACCATTATATTGCATTTCTTATTAGGTAACTTACCTTGCTGGATTTTGCTTTTTCTTCTTCCTACCTCCTCCTGTTGCATCTTCTTGTCAGCCTACCTCTATTGATTTTTTTGAGGTACAATTGACATCCAACAATCAGTACAAATTGACAAGTATTGACATATGTTTATACCCATGAACATATCACTGCACTTCACATAAGGAACATATCACCCTCTACCCAAATATTTCTCATGTCTCTTTATAATCCATCCATTTTCCCTTTCCACCCCAATCTCCAGGTGACCACTGATCTCCTTTCTGTCACTATGGATCAATTTGCATTTTTGAGAATTTTACATAACTGGAATAATATAGCATATAGTCTTTATTCTCTACCTTCTTTCATTCAGCACAATTATTCTGAGATCCACCCATGATGCTGAGTGTATCAATAATTTGTTCCTTTTTATTTCTAACTATTATTTCATTGCATGGATGCACCTATGCATAGCAGTATGTATATGTAGCAGCACAAGCATTGCTGCTGTGAACATTCATGTATAAGTTTTTATGTGGACATTTACTTTAAATAAATACCTAGGAGTACAATGGCTGGGTTGTATGGTAGATGGCTGTTCTATTTTACATTTTCACCAACAATGTTTGAGAGTTCTAGTTGTTCCCTGTCCTCATCAACACTTGATGTGATTAGACTTTTTACTGTCAGCCATTCTAGTGGGCATGCAGAAGTATTTCATTGTGGTTGTAACCGGTGTTTTCCCAATGAATAATGGTGTTTAACATCTTTTGATGTGTTTATTTTCCATATACATTTCTTTTTTTGTTTAAGAAATTTTGTCCCTTTCATTTATATTAAGTAGTTTCATCTTCTTATTATTATTGGTCCTGGTTCTTCCCTCTGGAGTTGGCTTCATTTTTCTCCAAGATGATATTTCACAAATTAGAACACAGACCAAGGAGATGCACATGATTTAGTAGATATGGCACAAGTTCAGAAACAATCAGCTATATTTGGACTGGAATTCTAGCTGTGCTACTTGATAAGTCACGTCACCTTGGGCAACTCAGTTAACACCCCTGGGCCTTAGTTCATTTGTCTATAAAATGGATCTAGTGAATCTATCTCCTAGTGTTTCTATGAGGAATAAGTGAAACACTCTCTTTAAACAGGTGACATAAGAAAATACGAATTCCTATTCTCTATCTGTAGGGGCCTTAAAGATACAGATGGTCTGAACAGTTAACAGGAGGTTTGTTTTCCTCCCTGTGCAAAGCATGGTAGCGGCTCTCCAGATCTCTGCTGTGAGCTGAGAGTCTCCACGGGGGCTGAGCTGCCATTGCTGTGTTCTTGGTGGAGGAAGGGCAGGGGTTGGAGAATATGGCGATAGCATTGCCCCTGGCTTTCTGACAAGAAAAGAGCAGCTTTCAGACAAGGTTCAACCTAAAGAAAGAGTCCCCTGCTGTGCAGGAATTGTTCACTCTGGGATATTTTTCCTGTGCAGTAACATCAAATATTCCCGCTGGTGGCAGAAGCTCAGGATTTGACAGCTTAACTATTTCATGCCCAGTCTGCATGAACTACAGAAGCCCCTGCCACAATGCTGTGCATATAATGGATGCCCAGTCATGGTAGTTTTCTTCCTAATTCTGATTTCTCATCCTTAAACAGGTATTGGCTCCATCTCTTCAAGTTCCTCTGTGGCAGATGCCACTGAGGTTTTATCTAAGCGTCATCACTACCGTCCTCCCAGGGGCTACTTCTTCCTGCCTCCAATTCCTGTGAGCCTCGTCCCCTCAGTCCTCATCGTCCCGGATGAACCCAACAGTGGCTTTGTAGCAGATGCCAAAGGGCCCATGGAAGATCACAGCCTCATGGAAAGGATGCATTGTCCTCCCAGCATTCTAGGGCTTGGGCCTTTTCTGTAGAACTTCGGTATGCCCCACTCTGAGGATAGATGACAATATCATATTGGAAAGGCCAGTGAGATATCTGGGACAGCCATCTCTCTCATTAAGTGGAAACCTAGTCCCTTTTGTGGAGAAATTCATAACAATAAACTTGCGGTGGATTGTTACAAAGGGCACATGGAAGGATAAGTTGCATTAAACCCAGAGTCCTGTGGGATCCCACAGAAAGACTGGCTTAGACTCAAATGCTAATAGCCCCACTGATGATCACAGACTACTTGAGTGCGCAGAAATGGCAAGGCCAAGTTGTCTACTCTTTCCCCAGCTGGCAGGAGCAGTCTTCCTGGAACAGCTCCCTCCTACCTCCCATTCTCTGTGCACTTAAAAACTTCTGGGAATCTTACTTCCTGCCCCAAGCCTTGTCAGACAAATGGATGGATTGAGAAATCACCTTTCACAGAAACCTCATGGCCTTACTTTCAGACACAATGATTAGAAAATAAAACAAAACACCAAATTAATTATTTTCTAGAGCAAAGTGTGAACCCTAGAAAATAATACCAGAGTATTTTTCAGACCCATCTAGAGAGTAGGATGCTGGACAGGGAGCATGCAGAGGGCTGAATATATGCAGGGCCCTGCCTCTGCTGGGCGGCTTAGTCTCACATGTCTTCCTCTTTAATCCTTGAGATGATTCTTTGGAGTAAGGAATACAATTATTAGTAGCTAAGTGAGGGAAAAGAGGCTCACCGAGTTTGGAGAATTTATGTCAGATCACACAGCTATTTGCAACTGACCTAGGATGAATCTGTCTGATTTCCAAAGCTCATGGATATCTCACTGTACTCCTTTGAGTTGTCACATGAATTGTGCTCCTCAATTCATCCACCAGTACCCTGCACCTCCACATGGCCAATCCATCTGGTCCCCAACCATGTGTGCACCACACCCTGAGGCTGTGCAGGGCCCAGTGGTGATTGCTATTGTCTCCATTGTCCATAGTTTTCCTGAACCAACTCATAAGTTGGTTGGAACTACCCTTTGGGGAGATGCAGTCTTCCCTCTGCTTCTCTGTTAGGCTTGTGCCTGGTCTCCTGAGGGTCCACAGGTCTTTGGGAGGATAGCCCCTCCTTACCCTGCTCCCACCATGAAGAGCAGAGTCTGATTCTGCTTGTTTCAAACCTGGCACTGCTGTTCCAGTCACTCCTGCAATCCCTATTTTGTGTTGTCTTGGTGGTAGTTTGTGTGTATTTGTTCACTGGTTAGTCTGAGAGCAGCTCTGCATTCAAAACTCATTTGGTCAACAAAGATGCATGACCTGCCCTCAGCCCACTGATAAACCCTTCTCCAACTCAGGTTAGTGGCTCTGCCCACTTCTTTAAGGGGTTCATTTCCAGAAACCTCTCTTGACAATTTTGGACACTAAGTGAAAGGATGGCCTTGCTAATAAATTAACAGAGAAAAACAAACTATCTAACAGAAAGACAAAAAGAAAGATCATAGCACATAATTGCCCTTTTGAAGAGAAAGATCACAACACACAACTGCCCCTTTGTTTGATTGGCAACCTGTGAATTGAGCAGATAGGAGTATGATGCCCCTAATGCCCCAGTTCCTGCCAGACCACTTCCCAAGGACCCTGATAAGCCAGCCTCAGAGAGAAGAGGGAAACACAGATGCAGCCACTTCAAAGCTGTCTTCTTCTATCAGCCAGCAGTCATAACTATTCTTTTTTTCTTCTTTCTTTACCCCCAATAAAAACCCCAAACCCTTTATCCTCCCTGCCGGCACTTCTTCTTTCTTTCCTGTGCTAAGCCCTTTCCCTCCACCCCAAAGTAAAATAAACTTTTTACTTCCTTCTATTCTAATCTTTGTGTCAAGAATTCTTTCTCATCCCACACTACAAGTTCCCGTCCTAACACTAAGGATACCAAGATAAATGAGTCATGCTCTTGGCCTACTAATATTTCACAACACGGCGAGGGAAATAGACACTAACATTCAGTGTTCAGTTCAAGAAATGGGAGCCATCTTGGGTATTTCAAGTAGAAAGTATTGTCATAGGAAGACCAGCTGTTTCTGAAATCATCCCAAGGAGTGGAGGAGTGGAAGAGTGGGTTGCAGGCTCCAGCAAGGACTTTCAGAGAGAGCTGCTACCTCTGCCCCATCGGGGGGGTGGGGAATCTGGTAGCCCAAAGCTATTGAACTACTGATTTGTAGATTCTTGAATCTGTAACATACCACATACTTGCAGTCTAGGAAACAGAAATGCAGCATTGGGAAGCTATTATTGCTGCTGTTAAAACTGACTCTTGACAATCATAAAACTATTGATTGGTTACTGGAATACCATATAGAAAAACTCTCTGTCACCACAACTCTGCTTGCCAGCAGAAAATATTTGAGACAGTGCAAAGCTTCCCTTTGCTTCATTTCTACCTCTAAAATTCTGTATGTGTGCACCTATTGGTGGAACTTCATTTGTACCCATAATTTTATCTGCAGGGAAGTCTGGAAAGTGGACTCATGCTATAAACAATAAGAGTGGATATTGGGGAAATAACTATCAGCATCTGCCACAGACTCAAGAACATATGTGCAAGGAAGTGTTAGAGCAAGCATGCTATGTAAGGCATAATACGTCACAAAGAAGGGAAAGATCAGTTCTTCCTGGAGGTTCAGGGAAAGTGCAGAGAAGCTACTCTAGCTGAGCCCTAAAGAATATCCTGGCTGGGAGTGGCGGCTTATGGCTGTAATCTTAGCGGTCTGGGAGGCCTAGGTGAGAAGGTCACTAAAGGTCAGGAGTTTGAGACCAGCCTGAGTAAGAGCAAGATCCTGTCTCTACTAAAAATAGAAAGAAATTAGCTGGACAACTAAAAATATATGTAAAAAAATTAGCCAGGCATGGTGGCACATGCCTGTAGTCCCAGCTACTCAGGAGGCTGAGGCAGGAGGATCACTTAAGCCCAGGAGTTTGAGGCTGCTGTGAGCTAGGCTGACACCATGGCACTTTAGCCTGGGCAACAGAGGGAGATTCTGTCTCTAAAATAATAATAATAATAATAATAATGATATCCTGTAGAAGTCTGCCTCAAAGAGGGCTGAAGGGCATTTAGGGTAGAGTAAGCTTACGTGTTAAGGTGGTTTGAAAAGGTGAAGTGCACATAGAATCAGCTTGTACTTCTTTTGTCTGGAACAGAAGAGAGAAAGAGGAGCACAGTGAGCAGTGAGGTCCAAGAGAGGGCAGGCCCCAGATCAAGACAGACCTCCTATGCCATGCTCATGAGCTCAATCTTTCTCCTAAGAGACAAGGGGACCTTTGGGAGGTTTTATGCAGGAGACTGACATGACGGAATGGGTTTTATTAATAGAAAGGTCACTCTGCATGCTATCTGGAGGATGCACTGGGAGGGGGAGAAATCAGAATAAAGAGAGCAGTTGAGAGGATATCGCAATGTGGCAAACTGGGCATGGTTAGAACCTGAACTAGATCTATGGATGCTGGAGTGGGGAGAAGAGGGCTCAGAAAGCATCAGGAAGTTGAATCGGTAGGACTCAACTGAGCTAAAGAAAACGGGAACGATTATTTCTTATACACTATGTGCCAAGCTCTATTCCATATATTAATACTTTGCATGTATGAACTCATTCAATCCTTAACAAAACTCTATGAAGTATGTTCTATTATCAACCCAGGTCTGCAGATTAAGAAACTGAGGCACAGCTGGCAAATGACAGAGCCAGGATCTGAAACCAGGTAGTCTAGTTTTATAAAGTAAATGCTCAATCAGTTGGCTCAGTCAGCTCCTGTGCTCTTACTGATAACATCTGCCCTTCTGTTCCTTATGAGTCTGCATCCCACTGGTTTGGACCAGAATCATGAGTTTTTTAACCTAGAAATTCATGGATGGATTTCTGCAAGTCTAGTGAACCCTGAAATTGTAAGCAAGTTTTTATGTTTTTTCAGCATTTGTGTAATTGTTTTGCTGGGAAGTGGTGGCAAAGACTTTCACCAGATTCTCGAAGGGGTCTTTGATCTAAAAATACACTTATGAAGGTTGCCTTAGAGCAGCAGTTCTCAAAGTGAGATCTCTGAACCAGCAGAATCAGCATCTCCTGGGTACTTACAAGGAATGCATATTTCTAGGACCCATCCCAGACCTGATATATCAGAAACGCTGAGAGTGGGGCCCAGAAATCTGGGTTAATAAGTCTTCCAGATGGTTCTGATATATGCTCGTTTGATAATCACTGCCCTAAGGCAAGCATAAGCATGGGTGATGTGCAATAGGGTCTGGTTGCTGGCCTGGCTGAGACATTCACAGTGGATGTGATATCAGGGAAGGGAGGGCAAAGTGTCTAGCAAGTTGAGATCTTCTTTAGATGCTCTCAGGAAGGAAACAATTAGACATAAGCTTTGAACTGTGCCAATGTTTTGGACAAGGCACTCACTGAGGGCTTCCATGGAGCTCAGAACAAGCATTTTGGGGAGCTGCTGGGCCCTGGGTTTGCATCTTAGAAGATGCAACCTGTAGACTTATGCACCAATCCTGCAATGCCAGGGAGGCTAGCCTCCCCCCCTCTCCTATGCAGTTTCTCCTAGGGCTGGAGTCTAGATATCTTGTTTCATCCAAGGTACACAGACCTCTAATGACATTTCAGAGGATAACTTGTCTGGGCTCCCTGGGCATTTAGTATCACTGACATGCTAACCACCCACCGTCAGGCGCCAGGGCCCCTGCCCCATACCTCTCCCAGTCGACACAACCACTGTGCAGTCTGCACAGGTTCCATCCCTGCCATGCCACACTCTTTCAACACTTTCCTGGAAACACGCAAAAGTCCAGAAACAAGCTGCAGCGCTTGGCGATGGGAATGGTGAGGATGCCTGTGCCCCACTCCCCTGCAGCCCCTGCTCTCTGGGAGCCCAGGCCTGACCTCCTCCTTTCTGCTAAGTCACAAAGCTGGAAAGTGCTTAGGGTAGGGAGAGAGCCGGTGCCGGCTGGTTGGCTTGGAAAGGTTCTGGGAATTCATTATGATCTAAACAACTATTCCAGTTATTCATGTGACTCAGCCCCTGAAATCGGGATCTTCCTGTGTCCATAGGGCCGGTGTTGCTGACTCAGTGCTGAAGGGGGCACCTTGTCAGCCCTCCTGGGCTTCCAACTCCCCCTCCCCCTCTCCCCGAGGACACTGAAGAGAAGCAGATGTGCGGTAAGCTGCTCGACCTGCTCAGTTTCATTTCTAAACAAGCAGCCAACCTCCTTCCAGTCCAGCTTCTCACCGCGCACATCTGCCAGTCCTCTGTGCATTCTGGAGGGGAAGCAATCAGAAACAGTCGCGCACGTACCATGCATTCGTGTGCGCATTTAACACGTGTGTGGCCAGCACCTTCTGTGTGTCTGGATGATCGCTCAAGGCTCAGATACAGAGAGATGTGAGCTGTACCTGCCCATACCGTTCAGGGGTCTGGTGGGCGAAACGCGCTAATAGACATTTAGGAAATAATGGAAAAGCACCGTCATGGAGCTGCAGAGAGCTTTGAGAACGCCGAGCAACAAGTGGCAACCCTTTCTAGCCACTTGGCATTCCTCTTCAACAAACAGCAAAATTCATAGAGCATGGGTGCGAATCACTTTTTCTGTGACAGCTAGAGAGAGAAGAAAATGCCAGGAGCTGACATGGCACAAGACAGGACTTTCTGGAAGAACAAGGCAAGAAGGCAGGGAGACTGAAGTGGCAAGTTTTACAGTTTTGCCCAAGGGCCTTTCTTAACTTAAACCTGTCACATGCCATGTAGTAGGCAGGATGGCTCAATTTCCCCGAAATAGTAAACTGCTTGAACTTCCCTCCTTCATTTGAGGAGGAAAAAGTGGAGGAGAAAAGAAAGATCACATGCTATTGGATGAATTTTTTTTTTTTTTTGAGACACAGTCTCACTCTCTCACTCTGTTGCCTGGGCCAGAGTGCCATGGTATCAGCGTAGCTCACAGCAACCTCAAACTCCTGGGCTCAAGCAATCCTTCTGCCTCAGCCTCCTGAGTAGCTAGGACTACAGTCATATGCCAATATATATATATATATATATATATATATATATATATTTTTTTTTAGTTGTCCAGCTAATTTGTTTCTATTTTGTTAGTAGAGACGGCATCTCGATCTTGTTAAGGCTGGTCTCAAACTCCTGAGCTCAAACCATCTGCATGCCTCAGCCTCCCAGACTGCTAGGATTATAGGCATGAGCCACCACACCCAGCCAAAGATGAAACTATTTTAGAAAGTAAAAAAACTAACATGGGCATCTACCATGTAGCAAGCTGTAAAGACATGTATAGGATCATACCTCATTAAATACTAATACATACACACACACACACATACAAACACACAGTAGGTACTGAGGCACAGTGGGGTAAAGTAGCCTGAGCATGGCTGAGCCAAGATTAGGGCCTGTGTTCTTGCCACTTGTGAAATTGCTGTGCACACAAGTTATAATGTAAAGAGATACTCATATCCCACTTTACAGATGGGGAAACTGAGGCTTAGAGCAGTTAAATAACCTCTCCAAAGTCATACAAATACTAAATGAGGTAACAGACCCAGGTGTGTCTGAATTCAAAGCCTGGGCACTTTCACCACACTACCCTGATTTTTTTTTTTTTCCATTTTGAGACCAGATCATTCAGAACTACTTGTCTGAATCTCTATAAATATGGAGTCTGATACCATTGTCACCCAGGATTATGATTTTAATCCACTGCAATGTTAGAAATAAAATGCTTAAACATAACCCCAAGCACACTTCCTTAGTCATTTATTCATTCAATACATTTATATTGAATATTCATCTATTTATGTC